CACAAAAAACAAGCATGTAATAAATTTAAAAGGAGACATGCCTAAAAATCACTGAGTGCCTCTGTTCTCTGAATGGTGCAGAGGGGGGTGGGTTCATAGAGGGCAAGGAAGGAGTTTGCCACCACTTTCTGTGGGAGATGTCATAGCCCAAGAGAGGCCTGTAAGGGATTTGGCTAATGGACACTTAAGGATTTCTTGAGCTTTGGAGCCCCCTGTTTGGAGGGCAGGAGGCAGAGTCAGACTCCTGCCAGAGCCTGCCTTTGGAGAGGGCAGACACTGGGCTCTCAGCTCCCCCAGCCTTCAACCTGCTGCTCTGACAAGCTTCACTCCCACAGAACAAGACCCCACCACACCAACGGCCCCCACTTTTCACTCCTCCCGCCCCATTTTTATTCTCCTCCAATTAGATTGCAAGCTTCTTAAGGACAGGGACTGTCTTTTATTCATTAGTTATTTCCCCAGTGCTTGGCACACAGTAAATGCTTAATAAATGTGGACTGGATGGGCAGGACGTTTCCCTGAGTGGACACTGCCTTGTGTGCCAGATAATTAGAAAGGACAACCAGCTTTTACAGGGGGCAAGTTTACAGCCCTCCTGTGGTTTGTGGGAGAGAATCCAGGTCATTTCTCAGGGGGGTTCTTAGAGTAATACATTGATGCATTCAGAGCCAGAGAGAAGAGAAGTGTAAGAGAGTCCTGAAGATCACAATCAGGAGAGCAGAGAGGGGCCCTGGGCATCTGAGAGCCTGTCCCTGTGTGTGTGTGTGTGTGTGTGTGTGTGTGTGTGTGTGTGTGCGTGCGCATGCACGTGTGTGTGTGTGTGTGTGTGCTTCTGTGTCTCTGTGTTTGTGTGTATATTTCAGAGTGTGTGTGTGTGTGTGTGTGTGTGTGTGTGTGTGTGTGCATGCATGGATGTGTGTGTTTGTGGAGAGTGGGGGCTGTTGCTCCAGGGGACGCCAGCTGCCAGGAGATTCCCACTGGTTGTTGTCCTTCCTTCTCAAGAAGGACCAGAATGCCATCACTCTGTTAGGGTCAATTATAGTGTGTCCGAATGTGGCTGATCAGACCAAACAATTTTGGAAGGCTCTAGAAGAGGTTGGGCACAAGTAGTCCATGTGAACATTGGGAGGATTCTCTAAATTTGCACACCTTGCATTTCCTTTGAGTTACTTCAATTCTGCTTTCTCAGAGCACAGCACCTTTGATGAGGACATGCCATGTTGGCCAGTCCTGTGCCAGTGTCTCCCACGTCACACAATCAGTTCTAAAGTTCTTCAGAGACACCTTGGGGGTGTCCTCATACTGTTTCTTCTCACCGCCATGTGAGTGCCTGCCTTGTGTGAGTTCTCCATAAAATAGTCGTTTTGGCACTCAAACATTTTGCATTTGAACAACATGGCCAGATGAAACCACACACGAGCACCTGGTGGCTGGATCTAGACCTCTACTTCTCTAGGGCAGGCTCCCCACCTCCACTGCCCATTCTTCCCAAATGCCCCACAGCCCTCCAAGCAAAGCCCCAACCACCCCCCTCCAAAATCAACTCTGGCTTCAGAGCCTGAAGCAAACTGCAGACCAGCAGCAGAATCCCAAACCATCAGCATTCCCTGCTCCCATGCTGTGCTTCAGAAGGACCCTGGAGACAGTCACCTGGCCAGGATAAACAACTTGTCTTCTCTGATCTCAGCTGGGAGCCCCTTGATGGGAGGCAATGTCCTGGCTGATCTCTGGTCACCACCCCTTCTCCCAACCACGGCTGCTCCAAACCTTCTCCTCTAGCCAAGCATCCTCCAGCAGCCCCAGCTCCTCCCTCTGAGGAGAAGACCTTGCCTCCTCTTTGACACAGAAAACAGAGGCTGTGCCTTGGGGCTCTCTCTTTCCCTCCTCTGCTACCCCCAGACATCCACTACAGCATCCACTCTCTAGTCCCTGGGCCTGGGGAGACCGAGAATAGGAAGCTCTGCTTTCCTGGGACAATTGTTCTACCTCTGGCTGTGACCCCAGCTCCTGCCTCTTCTAGGTGGTTCGCTGTTAATTCGAGTTCTTTGTCTCTCTGTCTCTGTCTCTCTCTTTTCTCCCTCCCCATCTCTCTCCATTTCCCCCTCCCATCTTCATTATCTGTCAATGTGTCTCTGTCTCTCTCTTCTCCTGTTTCTCCCTGTGTAAAGCACTGTGTCTCCTCTATTTTGATATTTCTCTGTCTCTGTTTTTGTCTTTGTCTCTGCCTTTCTCTGTCTCTATGTGTATATTTGTATTTCTCTGTGTCTCAGTCTCTCCATTTCTCTTTCTCTGCCTCTTCCTCTGTCTCTGTCTCACACGTGCACACATTCTTTCCAGTTTACCTCTCTACAACCATACTAGACTTGGTCACTGCCTAGCCATATTTTTATTCACATTGTTAGGTATTTCCCAATATATTTTAATCTGGTTCTGCCACCCTTGATGCCGTTGGGAGCCATGTGTTTGGCGCCTCCACTCTGGACGCTGCCCCAGGGAAGAGCTGAATACCCAGGTCTGATCAGGTCACTTTATGCCCAAGTATCTGCCATCAAACAGAATACAAATGATTATGCCGTTGGCCATTCACAGCCCTGCCCAAGCTCTCCACTTGCTCTCCTGATGTCTTGGACAACACTCCTTTGTGTCAATATTACATTGGGCCAGACGGGCCTGCTGGTCTCCCAACACAAAACTCCCTGTCTACCCAAGCTGCTGGGAAGGCTCAGAATGCCCCTCCCCCATCTTCCCATCCACCTCCAGACATTCCCAGCTTGGACCCTGTACAAGAAGCCTGCCTGATCATGCCTATCAATGCGTTCCCATCCGAACTTAGCCCCCCAGGAGCTTGTCTCTGCTCAAGGGACCCTGAGCCCACCAGCTTTCCCTTCTGTCACTGGATGCTCAGGACTTAGCCCTGTGTCAGGCCAACAGAAGGGGCTTCATAGATGTTTCCTAAAGGGTGCAAATGGAAAGCAAATTGAGGATGTTTATGGGTTGCTGGCCATCCCCTGGACAATATCACCATCACTTAATGATGGGCTCTGAGGGAAGCAGCCAGCCATAAACAACAACAAGGAAGAAGGCTCAATCTCCCCTTGGGACATCCTCCTGAAGCAGGGATATAAAAGCCCACCAGGATACACCACCTTCACACACAGCCCCACAGCTACACTCACACACACACACACACACACTCACACAGACCCACACCCACAAGCACAATCCCAGTGAGGCTCAAGTACTCCCTGCACCAGGCACTCAGCCCCTCACTGACACCCCTCTCACACTCTTTGCTGCCCCAGGCACCCAACACAGCTGCTCCACCATGGCAGAAACCTGCTTTTCTGGGCCCTGTGGTCCCATGTCCTCAGCTGTCTCCGTCTGCTCCAGTGACGTGAGCTGTGACAGCAACGTCTGCCTGCCCGGTTCGTGCACAGGCTCCTCCTGGCAGCTGGACGACTGCCCCGAGAGCTGTTGTGAACCCAGCTGCTGTGGCCCCTCCTGCTGCCCAAACCCCTGCTGCACGCCAACCTCCTGCCTGACCCTGCTGTGCCGCCCAGTCTGCTGTGTGCCCGCCACCTGCCAGACAGCCTGTGAACCCAGCCCCTGCCAGTCTGTCTGCACCTCCTCCTGCTCACCATCAGGTTGCCAGCAGTCCTGCTGCCAAGACCCTAGCTGCTCTGCCTCCCCCTGCTCAGTGCAGTCCTGCTACTGTGTCCCTCTGTGCTGCAAGCCCAGCTGCTGCATCGCCCTGCCTGTGTGCTGCAAGCCCAGATGCTGTGTGACCACAGCCTGTTGTCCAGCCTCCTCCTGCTGCCAGCCTAGCTGCTGCCACCCTGCCTCCTCTGTGTCCCTCATCTGCAGGCCCGTGTGCAGCCCAGCTGCCTGCTGTGTGCCTCTCTCCTGCAGGCCCTCCTGCTGCACCACTACATCCTCCTACTCTTGCTGCTGCGCCCCCTCCTGCTGTCCAACCTCCACCAGCTGCCGCCCTGCCTCCTCTGTCTCCCTCATCTGCCGGCCCACCTGCTGCAAGGCCGCCTGCTGCACTGCCACCTGTGGCCAAAAATCCTGCTGCTGACCACAGGGCACTTATTGCTCTCACCCCTCCCCAACTTCTGTCAGCCTCCTGGCTCCAGCCTCAAACATCAGCCTGAACACCTGGGCAGCAACATCTCCAGAGGCATTCAGGTTACCAAGCTACTCCTGAGCACTTCACCCACCCCAGGTGCAGCCAGGGTCTCCCATGCATCTCCTCCTATGGTGACCCCCACCATGGCTTCTGCTTCCACATGCACCTAGCTCAGCATGCAACAACCCAGGACTGCCTGAAGCTCCCAGGGCCTCTCTAGGCTCAAAATGTGCAGGGTATAACTCCGTGCAGGGATCCACCTTGTAATAAACTGCATCACCTCACCTGCCAGGCCTACCTTGTCCTCATCCTTATCCTGGGCCCACAATACAGAGTAAGGGGAGGAGGCACAAATACCACACAAGACTTCCTGGGGAGGCTAGAAGGTTCCACAAAATAGCGATTGACTGACCACCACACCATGCACACACATCAGCACGGTCATGACCTGCCATGCCCTGACCCATCCCTCCCCATCCCACACTGTGCAATGTTCACATCCATCAGCCTCACCCCTCGGCACTATTCTCTTGCCTTAGATCTTCTCCCTGCTGCACAAATCTGACCGCACTGTGTCTAGTTCAGGGCATGACTCCCAATACCCTCTGACCCAGCCTCTCCTCTGGAGCTCAGTGTGAGTGCAACCACTGCACCAGCTAACTGGGGTGATGAGCACAGCCAGAAAGCATTCTCTTCCCTTGGATGCCTCCTTACTCCTCCTGGCTCAGAGCCAGCACACACAGGCCCTCATGCAAGAGTGGCCATGCCGCAGGGCCTGACTCACACCACAACAGTCATGGCACATGGGAGCGCTCCTAGAGAGCTGCCCCTTGCAGGCAGTCTCTGCGTGCCCAGCCTCTGAGCAGCCTCCATGACCTTCTACTCAACCAAAGCCCAGACAACCCACTGTCAGCATTACCAGGACAAAGTCCCAAACCACACTGGGGCTGACTTAGCCCTGAGTGATATCTCAGGCAATGACAAGTTCCAAAGGAACTCTCTGTGTGCAGAAACAGAAGGAGCTCGTAAGGGGAAAGGGGCACTATGTCCCCTCGGGACAGGTCCCCTTGGATACAGGCTACAATAACAAGGACACCTCAAAGATGGTGGAGTAAAAAGGTCACTCTCACTCTCCCTATCAATCTCTGAAAGCCCAGAAACTACCACCCCAGGAAAAAAAAACCCTGCAACAGCTAACCAGAAGAAAAATGGAGAGCAGCAGTACAATAGCCGAGGTAGCTTGAGGGATTAACAGGAAAGGCCCCTGTTACCCTGGAGGAAGGGGAGCACTACGGAATGGGGTGCAACCCGGCCAGCTGGCAGAAAGCCACACTTTAAGCACACCAGGAGAGATCCTGGTGCTCAGCATTCCAGGTCTCCAGTGCCTCAGCAAAAATAAGGGAAGCAGAACTACAAAGGGCCCCAGGAGGATAAACACCCTGCAGCATTCATCTGAAAGGAGCTGAAGAAAGCAACCTAGAGTTGCCCTAAAGTTCCAGCCTTGCTGATTTCAGCCCAACACTATGTAAGCTGCCAGAACCCCACAGCCTCCAATTGCCAACCAGGAGGAGATCCTGAAGCCCAGGTGGTGGAACAGGCAAACATCAACACCTGGGACCCCTTGAGTGCCTCAGTGAGGGTGTGGGAACCGGTGGAAACCAGCTCAGAAGAACCACCAGGTTGCCCCAGCATTCTGCAGCAAATGGATCTCCCAGTGCCAAAACTAACAGAAGCAGCACTACAAAGGGCCCCAGGCAGACAAACACCCTGCAACATCCATCTAAAAGCAGCTGAACAAGCTAAAAAAAAAAGCAGGCAACCTAGAATTACCCAAAAGTTCCAGCCTTGCTGATTCTAGCCCAACACCACATAAGCTGCCAGAACCCTACAGCCTCCAATTGCCAACATCGGAGGCCCCAGCACACAAAGCCAGTGACCAAGACCTAGCTCCCAACACAAGAAGCTTGGGTCAGTGCCCTCTTCTCCGAGCAGGAGAGCTCAGTCTGTTTACGGGGTAATAAAGAAACACCATGAATAAAAAGAAACGTACCATAGATTCATATTATGTGAAGAGTGAAGATCAAGACAGAAATTTGAAGAGGACAACATTGTCAACAAACCCACATCTGCAACAACAAAAGGGAATATGAACTGGTCTGAAGCCCAAAAAGCCTTCTTAGAAGAGCTCAAGAAGGATTTTAAAGTCAAATGAGAGAGGTAGAAGAGTCCTTCAAAAAACAATTGGCCAATTGGAAAAAAATACACTGAAGAAAAAAGTCCCTAAAAAACAATTGGCCAATTGAAGAAGGAAGTACAAAAACTAACAGAAGAAAACAATCTGTTAAAAACTAGAATTGGACAAATGGAAACTAATGTCTCTATGAGAGAGCAAGAATCAGTCAAACAGAAACAAAAAAATGAAAAAATAGATGAAAATAAAATACCTCATCAGTAAAACAACCGACCTGGAAAATCGATCAGGAGAGACAATTTAAAAATTATTGGACTACCTGAAAATCATGATGAAAAAAAGAGCCTGGACAGTATCTTTCAGGAAATCATAAAGGAAAACTGCCCAGAAGTCCTAGAACCAGAAGGGAAAATAACCATAGAAAGAATCACCTCACCACCTGAAAGAGATCCCAAATTGACAACACCAAGAATATAATAGCAAAATTCCAAAATTACCAGATGAAAGAGAAGGTGCTGCAAGCAGCCAGAAAGAAACAATTTAAATATCATGGAACCACAGTCAGGATTACACAGGACCTTGCAGCTTCTACATTAAAAGACCGCAGGGTGGAACATGATATTCCATAAGGCAAAGGAGCTTGGAATGCAGCCAAGGATCAACTACCCAGCAAAAATGAGCATCATTTTTCAAGGGAGGAGATGGATATTCAACAAAATAGGGACTTCCAAACCTTCCTGATAAAAAGACCAGAGCTCAACAAAAAATTTGATCTTCAAGTACAGATCAAGAAGACATAAAAAGGTAAATGGGACAGAAAGATACAATATGTTGTTAATAAGGGGGGCTGTTTAAATCCCTACAAGGGAATATGACACTTGCAACTCTTGAGAACTGTATTGTTATTACACCATGTTAAAGGAGTATACATAAAGAGGGTGGATATTAGTTGACTTTGATGTAATGATAAAAAAAATCTAATCAAGTGGGTTAAATGGATCCAAATAAGTGGATTAATCTGATCTTAGAAAATGTACTGAGAAAGGAGGAGGCAGACAAGGGTAAATTACATTACAGGAAAAGACACAAAATCCTATTACAGCAGAGGGAAAGAAGGGAGGGGGTGAGCATTGTTTGAACCTTACTCTCATCAGATTTGGCTCAAGAAGGGAATAACATAATCAGTTAGGTATAGAAATCTAACTTGCCCTATAGGCAGTAGGAGGGAAAAGGGAAAGAAAAGGGAGGGGGAAGAAGGGAGGGAAGAAGCAGTAAGGTAAAGGGAAGAAAAGGGAAAGGGATAATAAAGGGAGGAGGGACTGAAGGAGGCAGTGGTCAAAAGCAAAACACTAGTGAAGGGGGAAAGGAAAAGGAGAAAGAAAAGCATAAAGGGGGGAAAAGGATGGAGAAAAAGACACAGATAGTAATCATAACTGTGAATGTGAATGGGATGAACTCTCCCATAAAATGGAAGTGGATTGCAGAATGGATTAAAAACCAAATCCTACAATATGTTGTTTACAGGAAACACATTTGAAAAAAGTGACACATACAGGGTAAAGGTAAAAGGCTGGAGCAGAATATATTATGCTTCAGCTGAAGTAAAAAAACAGGGGTAGCAATCCTGATCTCAGACAAAGCAAAAGCAAAAATAGATCTAATCAAAAGAGATAAGGAAGGAAACTACATCCTGCTAAAAGGCACCATAGACAATGAAGTAATATCATTACTAAACATATATGCACCAAATGGTATAGCATCCAGATTCTTAGAGGAGAAGTTCAGGGAGTTACAGGAAGAAATAGACAGCAAAACTATACTAGTGGGGGACCTCAACCTCCCCTCTCTGCACTAGATAAATCTAACCACAAAATAAACAAGAAAGAAGTTAAGGAGGTGAATAGAACATTAGAAAAGTTAGGTATGATAGACCTCTGGAGAAAACTGAATGGGGATAGAAAGGAATATACTTTTTTCTCACAGTACATGGCACATACACAAAAATTGACCATGTACTAGGGCATAAAAACCTCACAATCCAATGCAGAAAGGCAGAAATATTAAATGCATCCTTTTCAGATCATGATGCAATAAAAATTATATGTAATAAAGGGCCATGGAAAGATAGACTAAAAAATAATTGGAAACTAAATAATCTAATCCTAAAAAATGATTGGGTCAAACAACAAATCATAGAAACAATCAATAATTTCATTCAAGAGAATGACAATAATGAGACAACATACCAAAACTTATGGGATGCAGTGAAAGCAGTTCTTAGGGGAAGTTTTATATCTCTAAATGCTTACATAAATAAAATAGAAAAAAGGAGATTAATGAATTGGGCATACAACTAAAAAAACTAGAAAAAGAACAAATTAAAAATCCTCAACTAAACACCAAATTAGAAATATTGAAAACCAAAGGAAAAATTAATAAAATTGAAATTAAGAAAACTATTGAACTAATAAATAAAACTAAGAGCTGGTTTTATGAAAAAACCAATAAAATAGATAAACCTTTGGTTAATTTAATTAAAAAAAGAAAGAAAAACCAAATTACTAGTATCAAGAATGAAAAGGGTGAAGCTACCACCAAGGAAGAGGAAATTAAAACAATAATTAGGAATTATTTTGCCCAACTATATGCCAACAAATTTGACAATCTTAGTGAAATGGATACATATTTACAAAAATATAAATTGCCCAGATTAACCAAAGAGGAAGTAAAATACTTAAATAACCCCATCTCAGAAAAAGAAATTGAACAAGCCATTGATGAACTCCCTAGGAAAAAATCTCCAGGGCCAGATGGATTTACATGCGAATTCTATCAAACATTTAAAGAACAATTAATTCCAATACTATAAGACTATTTGGGAAAATAGGTGAAGAAGGAGTCTTACCAAATTCTTTTTATGATACAAATATGGTGTGATACCTAAACCAGGAAGAGTCAAAAGAGAAAGAAAATTATAGACCAATTTCTCTAATGAATATAGATTCAAAAATTTTAAACAAAATACTAGCAAATAGATTGCAGCAACTTATCACAAGGATAATATACTATGACCAGGTAGGATTTATACCAAGAATGCAGGGTTAGTTCAATATTAGGAAAACTATCAGCATCATTGAGCATATCAACACAAAACCAACAGAAACCACATGATCATCTCAATAGATGCAGAAAAAGCTTTTGATAAAATACAACACCCATTCCTATTAAAAACACTAGAAAGCATAGGTATAAATGGAGTCTTCCTTAAAATAATAAATAGCATCTATCTAAAACCTTCAGCAAGCATTATATGTAATGGGACAGGCAGGAAGCATTTCCAATAAGATCGGGGTGAAACAAGGATGTCCATTATCACCACTGTTATTCAATATTGTACTGGAAACCTTAGCTTTAGCAATAGAGAAGAAAAAGAAATTGAAGGTATTAGAATAGGCAAAGAAGAAACAAAGCTATCACTCTTTGCAGATGACATGATGATATACTTAGAGAATCCTAGAGAATCAAGTAAAAAACTACTTGAAATAATAAACAACTTTAGCAAAGTTGCAGGCTATAAAATAAACCCACATAAATCATCAGCATTTCTATATATTACCAACAAAGCCCAACAGCAAGAGATAGAAAGAGAAATCCCATTTAAACTTACTGTAGACATTATAAAATATTTAGGAGTCTACCTCCCAAACAAACCCAGGAACTCTATGAACACAATTACAAAACACTTTTCACACAAATAAAATCAGATCTAAATAATTGGAAAAACATCAGTTGCTCATGGGTAGGCCAGCTAATATAATAAAAATGACAATCCTACCTAAGCTAATTTACTTATTCAGTGCCATACCAATCAAAACCAAAATTATTTTATAGAGTTAGAAAAAATAATACAAGATTCATTTGGAAAAACAAAAGGTCCAGAATATCAAAGGAACTAATGAAAAGAAATGCAGGGGAAGGTGGCCTAGCAATTCCAGATCTTAAATTGTATTATAAAGCAGCAATCATCAAAACTGCTTGGTACTGGCTAAGAAATAGGGGTGGATCAGTGGAATAGGTTAAATATGCAAGACACAGTAGTCAATGACTATAGTAATCTATTATTTGATAAACCCAAAGACCCCAGCTTCTGGGATAAGAACCCACTCTTTGAAAAAAACTGCTGGGAAAACTGGAAAAGAGTATGGCAGAAACTAGGCATAGACCCAAATCTCACACCATATACCAAAATAAAGTCAAAATGGGTTCATGACTTAGATATAAAGGCTGATACTATAAGTAAACTGGGAGAACAAGGAATAGTTTACCTATCAGATCTATGGAGAACAGAAGAATTCATGACCAAACAGGAGATAGAAACATTATGAAAAGCAAGAAATTTTGATTACATTAAATTGAAAAGTTTTTGCACAAACAAAGCCAATGCAACTAAGATTAGAAGGAAGGTAGAAAATTGGGAAAGAATTTTTACAACCAGTCTCTCTGATAAAGGCCTCATTTCTAAAATATATAGAGAATTAAGACAAATTTATAAGAATACAAGCCATTCCCCAATTGATAAATGGTCAAAGGATATGAACAGACAGTTCTCAGATGAAGAAATTAAAGCCATCTATAGTCATATGAAAAAATGCTCTAAATCATTATTGATTAGAGAAATGCAAATCAAAACAACTCTGAGGTACCACATCACACCTATCAGATTGGCCAACATGACAAAACAGGAAAATGATAAATGTTGGAGAAGATGTGGGAAAATTGGAACACTAATGCATTGTTGGTGGAGTTGTGAAATGATCCAACCATTTTGGAGAACAATTTGGAACTATGCCCAAAGGGCTATAAAAATGTGCATACCCTTTGATCCAGCAATAGCACTTCTAGGGCTATATCCCAAAGAGATCATACAAATGGGAAAAGGACCCACATGTACAAAAATATTCATAGCAGCTCTTTTTGTGGTGGCAAAGAATTGGAAATTGAGAGGATGCCCATCAATTGGGGAATGGCTGAGCAAGTTGTGGTATATGAATGTAAAATACTATTGTGCTATAAGAAATGATGAACAGGCTGACTTCAGAAAAACCTGGAAAGACTTATGGTCTGATGCTGAGTGAAGTGAGCAGAACCAAGAGACTTTACACAATAACAGCCAGTTGTGCAATGACTAATATTGATAAACTTAACCCTTCCAGCAATACAAGGATCTAAGACATCTCCAGAGGTCATGATGGAAAATGCTATCCACATCCAAAGAAAGAACTATGAAGTTGAATTGCTATTTTTTTTCTCTTCTGTTGAGTTTTGTTTCCTCTTTTGATGGTTCCTCTATTGGTTTAATTTTACTTACAACTTCACTAATGTGAAAATATGTTTAATAGGAATGTAAATGTATAGCCTATATCAGATTGTGCACCATCTTGGGGAGGGTGGTGGGGAGGAAGGGGGAGAAAATTTTAACTCAAAAGCATATGGAAATGATAATTGATAAATCAAAATAAATTAATTTAAAAAAGAATTTTTAAAAAAGGAATATACGTAAAGGGGTGGATATAAGTTGACTTTGATGTAATGATAAAAAAAATACATCTAATCAAGTGAGTTAAATGGACCCGAGTAAGTGGACTAGTCTGATCTAACAAACTGTACTAAGAAAGGAGGAGGAATACAAGGGTAAATTGCATTACAGGAAAAGACAAAAACCTATTACAACAGATGGAAAGAAGGAAGGGGAATGAGCATTGTCTGAACCCTACTCTCATCAGATTTGGCTCAAGAAGGGAATAACAAAATCAGTTAGGTATAGAAATCTAACTTGCCCTATGGGCAGTAGGAGGGAAAAACACACACACACACACACACACACACACACACACACACAAAAAGAACAAGGACACCTTCACGTGAACACACGTGTACCTTCACACACAGACTTGGCCCCTGCCCCTCTCTTCATGGTGACTTCCACTTTTCCTGCCAGGGAGGAGGACTCTTTCTTCAGAAAGACACAGTGTCCTTAACAATGGCATGGACAGTGCTCCTGTCACCTAGCCCAGGGAGGGGGCACTGGGTGTCTTTGTTCAGGGCCACATGTTTAATGAGGTTGCCAAGCTTCTGTCCCCCAGATGAAGGGAAGAGACCCAAACTGGGAGGAAGTCGGACCTTGGGAGGAGGGTCTTGCCACGCAGTTCTTAGGGAGGACTTGACAAGTGTCTGCATGGATGTGGAGGGACAGACAAAAGAAAGATGAGACTTGTTGACCTTCTTCAGCAAGAGAAGAACAAGGAGGAAGACAGAGAAATGGGAGAGATGCTGATGCTTCTGTGAGGAAATCCTGGCAAAGGGATCAGGGCCACACTCCATTGGGATGCAGGAATCACTGCAGCCCCAGAAGCCCTGAGGGACATCTGGGAAGTCCAGAGCCCATGGAGCCCAAGAGCACTTGGAGAGGTGGCCCCCCACAAGCATGCAGGAAACCCTACGGTCTGCCTGGGATTCTGCCGGGGTGGAAGAGCTATGGACAAAGGTGACACAGTGACTGTCTTCAGGGAGCCTGTGTCCTACCAGAGGACACAGGATGAAGATGGACAAGCAAATAGCAGGTCATTTCAGAGGGACAGGGGGTACTGGAATCTGCAGGGATCAGGAGAGGCTCCATGTGGGAGGTGACACAGGAGCTCAACCTCACAGGAAGCTGGGGGCACTGGGAGGCAGAGGGGTGGTGGAGGGAGAGTCTTCCGGACCTGGGGTCCAGTCTGGGAAAAGGCACTGTGGTGGGAGATGGCAATGCATCTTCTTCCAGAGGCCCCGACACCTCATGAGCACAGGGGCCAGTGCTGGGTCCTGGACTCTCTTTGCCTTGGGCTCTCCAAGCCTAGAAGTTGGACTTTTTAATTTAGGGCCGGGGGAGGAGACAATCATGCCCCTGGTGCCAGCTCTCCCTCCTGAAGGAATGCGGTGTTTGTACCAGGAGCAAACAAGTGACCACTATATTCTCTTAGCCCACAGGACACACAGGCCCAGGGATCATGGGTCAGTCCACTCCTCAGCAGTTCTGAAACCTCCCTGTGACTCATTAGGACCAGGTCCAAACCCCTTAGCCTGGAAGTTCACACTCCACTTCCCTTGTTACTGAATAAAGGGTTAGGAAATATTTGGGTCTGGATGGTCTTGCAGAGACCAAGAATCCCCATGAGCCCAGGAAGGTGAGGGCTTCCTGCTTTAAGGACTCTCCCAAAGGCTTGGCTCTGGCTTTGAAGGAAGGAAGAGGATTCAGTCAGTAGGCTGACATAATTAAAGAAGGGGGACGGTGGCCTCTAAGAAGACCCACGTTATGCTCAAACCCCCAAGGAAAACTTCTGGGTGTCAAAGAAACACTGGGCAAGGACCTGTACAGAAGCTTCATGAGTTGTTTGGGAATGGGAAGGGTGGGAAAAACAAGAGAGAAAGGAAACAGCTACTCTGTTGCTGTGGCATGCGCACACACACACAAACACAAACATGCGCAAACCCACAAAGACACACAAACCCACAAAAACAAACACACACTCACAAACATACACACAATATATACAGAAACACACACACAAATACACAGCACACACACACACACACACACACACACACACTGCAGAGGGGTATAAAAGCCTTGGTCAGGGGGAAGGAGCTGTCCAAAGCCATCCCTTCTCCTCTGCTCCTCTCCCAAGATCCCTTTCAACCCAGACACCATGTGTCACACCAGCTGTTCCACTGGCTGCCAGCCAGCCTGCTCCGTGCCTGTCTGCTGCAAGCCCATCTGCTGTGTGCGTCCCTGCTGCCGCCCAGCCTCCTGTGTGGCCCTGCTCTGCCGCCCAGCGGGCACCGTGGTGACCGGCTGCCAGGCACTCTGTGGAGCTGGCAGCGGCTCCCCCTCATGCTGTGTGTCCAGCCCCTGCCAGTCCACCTGCTGCCAGGCTGGTCCCTGTCAGACCACCTGCTCCCAGGATAGCCCTTGCCTGTCCACCTGCTGCACACAGTCTGCTACAAACCTGCTATCTGTGTACCCATATGCTACAAGACTGTGACCTATGCTATCCCCTCCTGCTGCCAGCCAGCCTCCTGCACCTCCCTGCTATGTGGACCCTCCTGCATCCCCTCCTGCTGCTGAGCATGCACTGTCCCAGTTCAGTTGAGAGGAGCCTGGAGCATCCACTTCTCAGATCACCGAGGTCAGGGCCCTCACTCACACCCCACAGGCTGGTGAGAAGCTATGGTTCTGCTGTGACTCACAACCCATGACACCCAGGCTAGGTCACTGATGTCAGAAACCAGCTGGACCTCATCATGCCCCATGGACTCCATTGTGGCACAGAGCCACCATTCCCACAGGGACCCTTCCAGAGCTCCCTCAAGGGGAGGTCCCGGGACACCAGGGTCTGGCTTTCCACAACCTCCCTCCTGCCTCATGGTGACTCCAGCTTCACCTGCCCCAGTGAAACCACAAAAAACAAGCATGTAATAAATTTAAAAGGAGACATGCCTAAAAATCACTGAGTGCCTCTGTTCTCTGAATGGTGCAGAGGGGGTGGGTTCATAGAGGGCAAGGAAGGAGTTTGCCACCACTTTCTGTGGGAGATGTCATAGCCCAAGAGAGGCCTGTAAGGGATTTGGCTAATGGACACTTAAGGATTTCTTGAGCTTTGGAGCCCCCTGTTTGGAGGGCAGGAGGCAGAGTCAGACTCCTGCCAGAGCCTGCCTTTGGAGAGGGCAGACACTGGGCTCTCAGCTCCCCCAGCCTTCAACCTGCTGCTCTGACAAGCTTCACTCCCACAGAACAAGACCCCACCACACCAACGGCCCCACTTTTCACTCCTCCCGCCCCATTTTTATTCTCCTCCAATTAGATTGCAAGCTTCTTAAGGACAGGGACTGTCTTTTATTCATTAGTTATTTCCCCAGTGCTTGGCACACAGTAAATGCTTAATAAATGTGGACTGGATGGGCAGGACGTTTCCCTGAGTGGACACTGCCTTGTGTGCCAGATAATTAGAAAGGACAACCAGCTTTTACAGGGGGCAAGTTTACAGCCCTCCTGTGGTTTGTGGGAGAGAATCCAGGTCATTTCTCAGGGGGGTTCTTAGAGTAATACATTGATGCATTCAGAGCCAGAGAGAAGAGAAGTGTAAGAGAGTCCTGAAGATCACAATCAGGAGAGCAGAGAGGGGCCCTGGGCATCTGAGAGCCTGTCCCTGTGTGTGTGTGTGTGTGTGTGTGTGTGTGTGTGTGTGTGTGTGTGCGTGCGCATGCACGTGTGTGTGTGTGTGTGTGTGCTTCTGTGTCTCTGTGTTTGTGTGTATATTTCAGAGTGTGTGTGTGTGTGTGTGTGTGTGTGTGTGTGTGTGTGTGTGCATGCATGGATGTGTGTGTTTGTGGAGAGTGGGGGCTGTTGCTCCAGGGGACGCCAGCTGCCAGGAGATTCCCACTGGTTGTTGTCCTTCCTTCTCAAGAAGGACCAGAATGCCATCACTCTGTTAGGGTCAATTATAGTGTGTCCGAATGTGGCTGATCAGACCAAACAATTTTGGAAGGCTCTAGAAGAGGTTGGGCACAAGTAGTCCATGTGAACATTGGGGAGGATTCTCTAAATTTGCACACCTTGCATTTCCTTTGAGTTACTTCAATTCTGCTTTCTCAGAGCACAGCACCTTTGATGAGGACATGCCATGTTGGCCAGTCCTGTGCCAGTGTCTCCCACGTCACACAATCAGTTCTAAAGTTCTTCAGAGACACCTTGGGGGTGTCCTCATACTGTTTCTTCTCACCGCCATGTGAGTGCCTGCCTTGTGTGAGTTCTCCATAAAATAGTCGTTTTGGCACTCAAACATTTTGCATTTGAACAACATGGCCAGATGAAACCACACACGAGCACCTGGTGGCTGGATCTAGACCTCTACTTCTCTAGGGCAGGCTCCCCACCTCCACTGCCCATTCTTCCCAAATGCCCCACAGCCCTCCAAGCAAAGCCCCAACCACCCCCCTCCAAAATCAACTCTGGCTTCAGAGCCTGAAGCAAACTGCAGACCAGCAGCAGAATCCCAAACCATCAGCATTCCCTGCTCCCATGCTGTGCTTCAGAAGGACCCTGGAGACAGTCACCTGGCCAGGATAAACAACTTGTCTTCTCTGATCTCAGCTGGGAGCCCCTTGATGGGAGGCAATGTCCTGGCTGATCTCTGGTCACCACCCCTTCTCCCAACCACGGCTGCTCCAAACCTTCTCCTCTAGCCAAGCATCCTCCAGCAGCCCCAGCTCCTCCCTCTGAGGAGAAGACCTTGCCTCCTCTTTGACACAGAAAACAGAGGCTGTGCCTTGGGGCTCTCTCTTTCCCTCCTCTGCTACCCCCAGACATCCACTACAGCATCCACTCTCTAGTCCCTGGGCCTGGGGAGACCGAGAATAGGAAGCTCTGCTTTCCTGGGACAATTGTTCTACCTCTGGCTGTGACCCCAGCTCCTGCCTCTTCTAGGTGGTTCGCTGTTAATTCGAGTTCTTTGTCTCTCTGTCTCTGTCTCTCTCTTTTCTCCCTCCCCATCTCTCTCCATTTCCCCCTCCCATCTTCATTATCTGTCAATGTGTCTCTGTCTCTCTCTTCTCCTGTTTCTCCCTGTGTAAAGCACTGTGTCTCCTCTATTTTGATATTTCTCTGTCTCTGTTTTTGTCTTTGTCTCTGCCTTTCTCTGTCTCTATGTGTATATTTGTATTTCTCTGTGTCTCAGTCTCTCCATTTCTCTTTCTCTGCCTCTTCCTCTGTCTCTGTCTCACACGTGCACACATTCTTTCCAGTTTACCTCTCTACAACCATACTAGACTTGGTCACTGCCTAGCCATATTTTTATTCACATTGTTAGGTATTTCCCAATATATTTTAATCTGGTTCTGCCACCCTTGATGCCGTTGGGAGCCATGTGTTTGGCGCCTCCACTCTGGACGCTGCCCAGGGAAGAGCTGAATACCCAGGTCTGATCAGGTCACTTTATGCCCAAGTATCTGCCATCAAACAGAATACAAATGATTATGCCGTTGGCCATTCACAGCCCTGCCCAAGCTCTCCACTTGCTCTCCTGATGTCTTGGACAACACTCCTTTGTGTCAATATTACATTGGGCCAGACGGGCCTGCTGGTCTCCCAACACAAAACTCCCTGTCTACCCAAGCTGCTGGGAAGGCTCAGAATGCCCCTCCCCCATCTTCCCATCCACCTCCAGACATTCCCAGCTTGGACCCTGTACAAGAAGCCTGCCTGATCATGCCTATCAATGCGTTCCCATCCGAACTTAGCCCCCCAGGAGCTTGTCTCTGCTCAAGGGACCCTGAGCCCACCAGCTTTCCCTTCTGTCACTGGATGCTCAGGACTTAGCCCCGTGTCAGGCCAACAGAAGGGGCTTCATAGATGTTTCCTAAAGGGTGCAAATGGAAAGCAAATTGAGGATTTTATGGGTTGCTGGCCATCCCTGGACAATATCACCATCACTTAATGATGGGCTCTGAGGGAAGCAGCCAGCCATAAACAACAACAAGGAAGAAGGCTCAATCTCCCCTTGGGACATCCTCCTGAAGCAGGGATATAAAAGCCCACCAGGATACACCACCTTCACACACAGCCCCACAGCTACACTCACACACACACACACACACACTCACACAGACCCACACCCACAAGCACAATCCCAGTGAGGCTCAAGTACTCCCTGCACCAGGCACTCAGCCCCTCACTGACACCCCTCTCACACTCTTTGCTGCCCCAGGCACCCAACACAGCTGCTCCACCATGGCAGAAACCTGCTTTTCTGGGCCCTGTGGTCCCATGTCCTCAGCTGTCTCCGTCTGCTCCAGTGACGTGAGCTGTGACAGCAACGTCTGCCTGCCCGGTTCGTGCACAGGCTCCTCCTGGCAGCTGGACGACTGCCCGAGAGCTGTTGTGAACCCAGCTGCTGTGGCCCCTCCTGCTGCCCAAACCCCTGCTGCACGCCAACCTCCTGCCTGACCCTGCTGTGCCGCCCAGTCTGCTGTGTGCCCGCCACCTGCCAGACAGCCTGTGAACCCAGCCCCTGCCAGTCTGTCTGCACCTCCTCCTGCTCACCATCAGGTTGCCAGCAGTCCTGCTGCCAAGACCCTAGCTGCTCTGCCTCCCCCTGCTCAGTGCAGTCCTGCTACTGTGTCCCTCTGTGCTGCAAGCCCAGCTGCTGCATCGCCCTGCCTGTGTGCTGCAAGCCCAGATGCTGTGTGACCACAGCCTGTTGTCCAGCCTCCTCCTGCTGCCAGCCTAGCTGCTGCCACCCTGCTCCTCTGTGTCCCTCATCTGCAGGCCCGTGTGCAGCCCAGCTGCCTGCTGTGTGCCTCTCTCCTGCAGGCCCCCTGCTGCACCACTACATCCTCCTACTCTTGCTGCTGCGCCCCCTCCTGCTGTCCAACCTCCACCAGCTGCCGCCCTGCCTCCTCTGCCTCATCTGCCGGCCCACCTGCTGCAAGGCCGCCTGCTGCACTGCCACCTGTGGCCAAAAATCCTGCTGCTGACCACAGGGCACTTATTGCTCTCACCCCTCCCCAACTTCTGTCAGCCTCCTGGCTCCAGCCTCAAACATCAGCCTGAACACCTGGGCAGCAACATCTCCAGAGGCATTCAGGTTACCAAGCTACTCCTGAGCACTTCACCCACCCCAGGTGCAGCCAGGGTCTCCCATGCATCTCCTCCTATGGTGACCCCCACCATGGCTTCTGCTTCCACATGCACCTAGCTCAGCATGCAACAACCCAGGACTGCCTGAAGCTCCCAGGGCCTCTCTAGGCTCAAAATGTGCAGGGTATAACTCCGTGCAGGGATCCACCTTGTAATAAACTGCATCACCTCACCTGCCAGGCCTACCTTGTCCTCATCCTTATCCTGGGCCCACAATACAGAGTAAGGGAGGAGGCACAAATACCACACAAGACTTCCTGGGGAGGCTAGAAGGTTCCACAAAATAGCGATTGACTGACCACCACACCATGCACACACATCAGCACGGTCATGACCTGCCCCTGACCCATCCCTCCCCATCCCACACTGTGCAATGTTCACATCCATCAGCCTCACCCCTCGGCACTATTCTCTTGCCTTAGATCTTCTCCCTGCTGCACAAATCTGACCGCACTGTGTCTAGTTCAGGGCATGACTCCCAATACCCTCTGACCCAGCCTCTCCTCTGGAGCTCAGTGTGAGTGCAACCACTGCACCAGCTAACTGGGGTGATGAGCACAGCCAGAAAGCATTCTCTTCCCTTGGATGCCTCCTTACTCCTCCTGGCTCAGAGCCAGCACACACAGGCCCTCATGCAAGAGTGGCCATGCCGCAGGGCCTGACTCACACCACAACAGTCATGGCACATGGGAGCGCTCCTAGAGAGCTGCCCCTTGCAGGCAGTCTCTGCGTGCCCAGCCTCTGAGCAGCCTCCATGACCTTCTACTCAACCAAAGCCCAGACAACCCACTGTCAGCATTACCAGGACAAAGTCCCAAACCACACTGGGGCTGACTTAGCCCTGAGTGATATCTCAGGGCAATGACAAGTTCCAAAGGAACTCTCTGTGTGCAGAAACAGAGAAGAGCTCGTAAGGGGAAAGGGGCACTATGTCCCCTCGGGACAGGTCCCCTTGGATACAGGCTACAATAACAAGGACACCTCAAAGATGGTGGAGTAAAAAGGTCACTCTCACTCTCCCCTATCAATCTCTGAAAGCCCAGAAACTACCACCCCAGGAAAAAAAAACCCTGCAACAGCTAACCAGAAGAAAAATGGAGAGCAGCAGTACAATAGCCGAGGTAGCTTGAGGGATTAACAGGAAAGGCCCCTGTTACCCTGGAGGAAGGGGAGCACTACGGAATGGGGTGCAACCCGGCCAGCTGGCAGAAAGCCACACTTTAGCACACCAGGAGGAGATCCTGGTGCTCAGCATTCCAGGTCTCCCAGTGCCTCAGCAAAAATAAGGGAAGCAGAACTACAAAGGGCCCCAGGAGGATAAACACCCTGCAGCATTCATCTGAAAGGAGCTGAAGAAAGCAACCTAGAGTTGCCCTAAAGTTCCAGCCTTGCTGATTTCAGCCCAACACTATGTAAGCTGCCAGAACCCCACAGCCTCCAATTGCCAACCAGGAGGAGATCCTGAAGCCCAGGTGGTGGAACAGGCAAACATCAACACCTGGGACCCCTGAGTGCCTCAGTGAGGGTGTGGGAACCGGTGGAAACCAGCTCAGAAAACCACCAGGTTGCCCCAGCATTCTGCAGCAAATGGATCTCCCAGTGCAAAACTAACAGAAGCAGCACTACAAAGGGCCCCAGGCAGACAAACACCCTGCAACATCCATCTAAAAGCAGCTGAACAAAGCTAAAGGAAAGGAAAAGCAGGCAACCTAGAATTACCCAAAAGTTCCAGCCTTGCTGATTCTAGCCCAACACCACATAAGCTGCCAGAACCCTACAGCCTCCAATTGCCAACATCGGAGGCCCCAGCACACAAAGCCAGTGACCAAGACCTAGGCTCCCAACACAAGAAGCTTGGGTCAGTGCCCTCTTCTCCCGAGCAGGAGAGCTCAGTCTGTTTACGGGGTAATAAAGAAACACCATGAATAAAAAGAAACGTACCATAGATTCATATTATGTGAAGAGTGAAGATCAAGACAGAAATTCTGAAGAGGACAACATTGTCAACAAACCCACATCTATACCAACAAAAGGGAATATGAACTGGTCTGAAGCCCAAAAAGCCTTCTTAGAAGAGCACAAGAAGGATTTTAAAAGTCAAATGAGAGAGGTGAAAGAGTCCTTAAAAACACAGTAGGCCAACTGGGGGAAAAGTACACTGAAAAAAACAAGTCCCTGAAAAATACAACTGGCCAACTGGAGAAGAAAGTACAAAAACTGACAGAAGAAAACAATCTGTTAAAAGCTAGAATTGGACAAATGGAAACTAATGTCTCTATGAGAGAGCAAGACTCAGTCAAACAGAAACAAAAAAATGAAAAAATGGATGAAAACATAAAATACCTCATGAGTAAAACAGCTGACCTGGAAAATTGATCCAGGAAAGACAATTTAAAAATCATTGGACTACCTGAAAATCATGATGAAAAAAAGAGCCTGGACAGTATCTTTCAGGAAATCATAAAGGAAAACTTCCCAGAAGTCCTAGAACCAGAAGGGAAAATAACCATAGAAAGAATACACCGCTCACCACCTGAAAGAGATCCCAAATTGACAACACCAAAGAATATAATAGCAAAATTCCAAAATTACCAGATGAAAAAGAAGATGCTGCAAGCAGCCAAAAAGAAACAATTTAAATATCATGGAACCACAGTCAGTATTACATAGGACCTTGCAGTTTCTACATTAAAAGACCACAGGGTGTGGAACATGATATTCCATAAGGCAAAGTAACTTGGATTGCAGCTAAGAATCAACTACCCAGTGAAAATGAGCATGATTTTTCAAGGAAGAAGATGGATATTCAACAAAATAGGGGACTTCCAAACCTTCCTGATAAAAAGACCACAGCTCAACAAAAATTTGATCTTCAAGTCCAAGATCCAAGAGAGACATAAAAAGGGTAAATGGGACAGAAAGATACAAAATGTTGTTAATAAGGGTGGGCTGTTTACATCCCTACAAGGGAAGATGACACTTGCAACTCTTGAGAACTGTATTGTTATTACACCATGTTAAAGGAGTATACATAAGGGGGTGGATATAAGTTGACTTTGATGTAATGACAAAAAAAATCTAATCAAGTGGGTTAAATGGATCCAAGTAAGTGGATTAGTCTGATCTAAGAAAATGTACTGAGAAAGGAGGAGGCAGACAAGGGTAAATTACATTACAGGAAAAGATACAAAAACCTATTACAGCAGAGGGAAAGAAGGGAGGGGGATGAGCATTGTTTCAACCTTACTCTCATCAGATTTGGCTGAGAAGGGAATAACATAATCAGTTAGGTATAGAAATCTAACTTACCATATAAGCAGTAGGAGGGAAAAGGGAAAAGAAAATGGAGGGGAGATAGAAGGGAGGGAAGAAGCAGTAAGGGTAAAAGGGAAGGAAAGAGAAAGGGCTAATAGAAGGGAGGAGGGACTGAAGGAGGCAGTAGTCAAAAGCAAAACACTAGTGAGTGGGGGAAAGGAGAAAGGAGAAAGTAAAGCAGAAAGAGGCGGCAGAAGGATGGAGAAAAAGACATAGATAGTAATCATAACTGTGAATGTAAATGGGATGAACTCTCCCATAAAATGGAAGCGGATAGCAGAATGGATTAAAAACATAATCCTACAATATGTTCTTTACAGGAAACACATTTGAAAAATAGTGACACATACAGGGTAAAGGTAAAAGGCTGGAGCAGAATATATTAAGCTTCAGCTGAAATTAAAAAAAAAAAACAGGAGTAGCAATCCTGATCTCAGACAAAGCAAAAGCAAAAATAGATCTTATCAAAAGAGATAAGGAAGGAAACTACATCATGCTAAAAGGCACCATAGACAATGAAGTAATAACATTACTAAACATATATGCACCAAATGGTATAGCATCCAAATTCTTAGAGGAGAAGTTGAGGGAGTTACAGGAATAAATGGACAGCAAAACTATACTGGGGGGGGACCTCAACCTCCCCCTCTCTGAACTAGATAAATCTAACCACAAAATAAACAAGAAAGAAGTTAAGGAGGTGAATAGAACATTAGAAAAGTTAGGTATGATAGACCTCTGGAGAAAACTGAATGGGGAGAGAAAGGAATATACTTTTTTCTCATCAGTACATGGCACATACACAAAAAATTGACCATGTACTAGGACATAAAAACCTCACAATCCAATGCAGAGAGGCAGAAATATTAAATGCATCCTTTTCAGATCATGATGCAATAAAAATCATATGTAATAAAGGGCCAAGGAAAGATAGACTAAAAAATAATTGGAAACTAAATAATCTAATCCTAAAAAATGATTGGGTCAAACAACAAATCATAGAAACAATCAATAATTTCATTCAAGAGAATGACAATAATGAGACAACATACCAAAACTTATGGGATGCAGTGAAAGCAGTTCTTAGGGGAAGTTTTATATCTCTAAATGCCTACATAAATAAATAGAAAAACAGGAGATTAATGAATTGGGCACACAACTAAAAAAACTGGAAAAAGAACAAATTAAAAATCCTCAACTAAACACCAAATTAGAAATATTGAAATCCAAAGGAATATTAATAAAATTCAAATTAAGAAAACTATTGAACTAATAAATAAAACTAAAGGCTGGTTTTATGGGAAAAAAACCCAATAAAATAGATAAACCTTTGGTTAATTTAATTTAAAAAAAGTAGAAAAACAAATTACCAGTATCAAGAATGAAAAGGGTGAAGCTACCACCAAGGAAGAGGAAATTAAAACAATAATTAGGAATTATTTTGCCCAACTATATGCCAACAAATTTGACAATCTTAGTGAAATGGATACATATTTACAAAAATATAAATTGCCCAGATTAA